ATCCTTCCGAAAGTAGCACCAGTAGCAATCAGTGCTTCTGTCACCACTTTACTTGGTGTTGTGCATTGGAAACCTGTTTGTATATAGCAACGTTCACTCTTCTCCTGGATAATTATTTGCTTATATTTGGATAGGTTTCTCATGCAATGATAGGAATGAGGTAAACATTGTAGAAGAAATTAACAGGCTTCTGAGACAAATGAAAACGTAGAGGAATAACTGATTTAAATTCTTTCTCTTTTAAACACGTGTAACATATTCAAAGCAGATAACTTTCAGAATAAAGCAACTTTATAAGTGGCTGGTTTGGTTTTTAAGCCTGTTGTCATGTCTGAATTCCTCTGCTATTAACTCCAGCCTCACACCAATAAGAAAATTATCAGAGTAACTTTATGTACTGTAGGCTAAGGGTGACAGCATGCCAGGTAATAACATCTCCTCGTCTCAACTATTTCCATCTCCTTTGATGCCCATTGTGACACAAATGAGGATTATTGTAAATGACACAGTGCAGACCACATGTTTATAACTGTCTATAACGAGTACATTCAGGCAGCTGTCTGCTTTTGAGATCTTTTAACACGGTTGATCAAGGTGGGGGTCAATGCTGTGACAGAAATCAAAGGGCTATTTTATTCATAGTAAAGTTTTAATTCTCCATCTTCTTTGGTCTCTTCTCCATCCTGGTGGGCGAATGGACGTGGTTGGTTTTTGAAGAGTTCTCATGCAAGATTTTGTTTGCTTGTTTAAGAATCCCAAATTATTTGGGTGCCACGTACTATTTTAGATAATAGCCACTAGTGTAATTGCAGAGACGTAGTTCCCTGCCATGCTAAGATTTAACTTGCATATCGTCTTCCTTTGTCTTTCTAAACCTGGAGTGCCACCCTAGGTGGTGATGCACATGGGATGGAGATGTGAGAGAAGAGGCCTGCCCTCTTGTTCTGCTCGCTGCCAAAAAAGCCTCAAATGAGCAAACAAACCCGCTTGTGTGCAGCGAGGACGTAGGTGGCCAAGACGCAATGAACAATTTTAAGCGTTCTCTTGAAGTCACTTGAAAATCAATTTGCTCTTCGCACAAAAGTGATCGTTTAGAGCAAATCTGAGTGTTTGTATGGCCAGGAGAGTTTCAGGATGTTTGAAGGAAGTTCCTGCCTGTTTTCCGCCCCTTTTCCACACACGGAAGCGCAGGGAGGTGATACAATCCTCCTGTGCCAGCATCCTGCCCTACCCGCCAGATGCTGTACTCCCTCCCAAGAGCCTGTTGTCCCCGAGCAGAGTGAAAGGACGGGGCTTTGTACACGAGATAGTCTGACCTGGGAGAGAGTTAGGTGTGGGTGGAAGGAAAAAAAAAAAATAAAAATGCTCATTTTAGTAGGTTTTGTTTTAATGGCACCAGGCTGGAGGGGGAGGAAGGAGGGCTGGGCTGTGTAATGGCCGCACTGGGGAGCGTGGCTGCCCCACGGAGCGGTGTTGGGGGGCTGTGTCTTGGTCTCCCCATGTGCTCAGCCCGGCAAACCTGAACGGGTTTGGCACAGCGTTTACAGAAGTAGGACAGGCTCCATTTAAATATATATTAATTAAAAACAACCAAATCTGTAGTGGAGCCTGAAATGTATATAGCAGACCTTCAGAAACCCGCAGCCAGTGGAAACTACTGGGATTTCCCTATTTTTATACAAAGACTTTTTTTTTTTTTTTCCGGCGAAAGAGGACTTGATTGTATGAGGAAACAGTGAAATGTGTTGCAGAGGGTAATGAAGCTGAAAAGTAGGAAGGGGGTGGGGAGAAACCATTTCTTTCTAGCTCTCGTTCTATTAATGTCTTGGGCTTGGTTAGTCCAGCGGGTACGATAAGGAAGCGATAGCAGCCCACAGATAGCAACACACTGCCTGTCAAATGGGCTTTGTTATCCACCTCATCCAAAACCCATTAAATCGATGATGCTAAATCAGTCATTAGGCCAGCAGCTGGGAGCTGTGGTCAGTGTGTGCTACTCTGGGAAGCCTGCAGTACCTCCAGGCTTATGGGCCTACGAAAATACAAGTTCCTAAGTCCGACCCTTCCCAAACAGCCTTAAAAAGTTGTTTTTCTTCAAAGATGCAGTACATACAATGTATGGCTGTGGCTTTATTGGTTCAAAATCGACACCTGTTTGTGTGTGTGCCGGGGGTGGATGTGTCGGTGTCACCCCCGTGAAGCAAAGCCATGCTGATCCTGGGGCCGTGGGGATGCTCGGGGCTGGACCCATGGAGCCGCAGAACGGTCTCGCAGCCCTGCAAAGCCCATTAGTGGCTGCAGCATTTACATTTGCAGGTAGTTGCAATAATGTGGGTGGTAATCGATAGGCAAGGGCTCTTCTGGATGTTGGGAATCCCCACGCCAGCAGGGATGGGCTGGATCTTGGGAAAGCACAGGCTCTGCTGGGGGAAGCCCTGGGACCCGCTGCCGTTCTTGCGGTGGGATTGTTTTGCTGTGCTCGTGCCTCTTCTGGAGCCCTATCTCCGCGTCCCAGCGCCCTGATGGGGACACTGCCTCCCTGATAAGGCTTTCTCCTCGCAGGGTGGGGATGGGCTGTCCCCTCCCCGGCGGGAGTGGGGGCTCCCGCAGCCCCCAGCACGGCGGAAAAGGGGTTCGTTCGCTCGGGCTCGCCTTCAAACGGCTCTCGGTGCCCGCTCCCGGAGAGATAACACCCGGCCCCGTGCCACAGCAAGCCAGAGACCAGCCTTTCATGTTGTCGTTCTCCTTTCTTCTTAAGATACGGCTTAAAAGGCTGAATTTGGGTTATCTGATCTATTATGGTGGTATTAGCGCTGTACACGCCACGGACTATTAATGTTCTGTTTTGAAATTTGGGTAATAAAAGACCAATTGTTAAACGATGTGCAGCTGCCTCATAAGCCTGGCTTTCACAGCGATGGGCCCATTGGAAGTCACGAGACTGTCCCTGTCACTCGCAGGCCCCTCTCTGCTCCACCAGCCGAACCTACACCCCTCTGGGTTCTGCATGAGTTGGCTTAAGTGCCTCAGGCTCAGCTCTTTTCAGTTTGATTCACGAGGGATTTAATCTGTAGTTCCTGGAAAGGGTGTCACAGAACAGAGCGATGCTGATCTGCTGGGTTAGCTTTAGGAAAAAAAACAACAACAAACAAACCAAAGCAGGGGAAGCTTTAGTTGATTGTAACTATGGCCACAAAAAAATTTAAATGTAGTGAGATTAAATCGTGGCCTCGTCCCTTAGAATAGCTGAAGGGTTTTCTTGAAATGTTTCAGCAGGGTAGAAAAGAGGAACGGAAAGACACCACTCCTTTCCTTATAGAGCAGTGGCCCAACAGTATTAAATCCGGTTGAACTTTAAACGGGATGTTCACTTTAAACTCACTGAAACGTGTGATGCTCCATCCTTGCTGAAGTCCAAGTGAAGCTTGTCCTGGGCTCTGGGAGCCACGGCTGTATCTGTGTGGCAGGGGAGAGGGACAGCTCTCCATGGCCTAAATATTTTGATAATGACTTCAGTGTCATGGCCCAGAGCTTGGCAATGCTGCTGGTGGTGGAGCCGTGGGCAGCTGCCTGGAAGAGAAAGCTTAGATGAAGGCTTTGAGCCTTTCACCCTCAAGCACGTGGCAACTGGTGTTCCTTAGAAAAATCCCTGCCCAGTACCTCTCAAATTTTTTTTTTTTTTTTTTTTTTTTCACAGTTTCCTTGGGGGGGGAAAAAAGGTTCTTTTTCTCATCCTTGGGGGGCTGGTGTCTGTAAATCTGGGGTTGTCCTCAGGAGTTTCAGGTCAAACCCCCCCTCACTGCCACACTGTGTGGTCGGGGGCTCCTGGGGGGCTCTGCTCGCCTGCGGTGGATGGTTGTGCTGCCAGCCCGGGGGTAAGCACGGCAAAGCACAGGCAGGGCAAGCTGCTGCCCTGCTCAGCATCACCCTGTTCAGCGGCTGGGCCGGAGCATCACCCAGCTGCCGGAGATGCTTTGCTGCTGTGGAAGAGGGGAGAAGGCAGTCGTGCTCAGGAGCAGTGTCTGTGCGTGGCGCCTCCGGGATGTGGGGTGGGAAAGGGCAGCGTGCCCCTTGGGAAGAGCCCACCTCTGGGATGTGGGGTGGGAAAGGGCAGTGTGCCCCTTGGGAAGAGCAGAGCAATGGCACCGGTGCTCTGAACTTCTGTCTCCTGGCTGTAGAAAAGCACCTCGCTCTCACCCCCTGAACATCCACTCTTTGAAAAGGAATGCTCTTCCCATCCAACGCATGGAAACCTTCCTGACGTTTTCCCTCTCATGCAATTCCCTGACACCCATCTCTGCTCATGTCCTTGTGATTTAACCAGCCAAAATGCCTGTGTGGTGTTTCAGTAGGCGGAAGAGACAGCAAAGGAAGCTGTGCCCCAGCAAAGCCAGAGGATGCTGGTGGACCTCGGTGCTTGCATCTGTTGGCATCGTGGAGCTGCTGCCTGCCCTGTGTTTCTTTCTTGACCGTGGTGGGCAGGCACAGGCGTGCTGCTGGGGTGGGTGTCCTCCCTGGGCACCCTTGTGCTGCAGAGATAGCAAAGGTCTCAGCAGGTGGTGTTCATTTTTTATTCTTCTACCAGGGCCTTGCTTATCTGATGCTGTTCTAGCACAGTGTGAAGGGGCTGACAGACAGACAGATGCACTACCACTCCCTAAGCCCCGTTCCCTGGCTCTTGGGCATAGCAGCCATTCATCAAGCCTTAGCTCTCTACGTACCAAATTTCTTGCAGAAAGTTGCTAGGAAACTCAGAAGTGGTTGTGTTGCTTTTTTTCCCCCTCATTTTAATTTTTTTTTTTTCAATGTTGTGACATTGACTGAATGAAGACCATGGCAGGAGTGCTTCCCCTGGAGTATTCTTCCAGGGGACCAGTGATTTGAAGGATGTTTCGTGCTTCCAAGGCCTACGTAGGGTGAAGGTGTTGGATCCATGTGGATCTTTCCTCTCTTCAAACCTTGCGTTGGGTATTTGTTCTCTTCTTGCTCGCACCAGGACGATGACGTCCCCTTGGTTTTCTGTAGGTGGGTTACAGTGGAACCTCTTATTGTTCTTCTGGCCTCTGCTGCTGTGTTTGGGTGCAAGGTGTGAAGCATTGTGTGGAGCTCTTCTGCTCCTTGACTAGCATAGTGCTGCTTAGGCTTGGTATCTCTCCCCTCCTTTTTGCTGAGCTGTTGCTGAGCTTTTAAGGCAAGAAGAAGTGTATGTGCCATGCTTTGGTCACATTTTTTTTTTTTGGCACGTCTACATAGAAAACAAGTCCTTGGCCATAGCTTGAGCTCTCTGGCACTGTTACTTCCCCTTGCCTCTAACTTGTAAAACCAGAGGAAGGCGTTTCTGCATTTTTTTTTTTTTTAAGCTAACGTTTTTTGGCTTGTTTCGCAAGCCACTTCCACTTCCCCCCAGCCCTTGCAGAAGTGTTGCCACAGCTGCCAGAGCAGCAGCGCTGGTCCAGCCTGGTGTGGTCGGAGACTTGTCTGACCTGACCCCTGTGTGATGAACCTCCGCATGGGCCACTGGGTCTGCCAGGGTGGCTAGCCTGGGGCTGCTAGCCCGGGGCTGTGCCAGCCCTAGCACTGTGCCCGTGCCTGTTACCACCTGCTCTGCTGGGTGGTACCAAGGGCTGAATTCAGCAGTTCCAAAACAACCCAAACCGGGCTTCATTTATGGTGACAAATTGAAGTGGCCCTAGGGAACTTGTTGGGCATGAAACTCGTTTCAGTTCCTGTTGATTATTTGACAATAATACGAGCACTGACTCAAGCCTGTCTATCCTGTGTTTGTTTATTGACACAGACAGCTCAGGCAAAGTTCATCGTAATTCACTTAGATGTTTCTTAGGGACTATGTAATGATTAAGTGAGCCGTTGCTGGCTTGCAGGCACACGATGGGAATATGCTGCGTGGGCTGGGGACAATGTCAGGACTGTCAACCTCCCAAATACACCATCTGCTGAAAGCACTGAGCTTTTTACCCTTGGTTCTCTAACTTGGCGATATCCGAAACATCAGCTCTCCTGGCATGGATAGAAGCTCTGAAGGGATGGGAAGAGTAGTTCACACCAAAAATGTGGCGGTGCATTATTGCAGACCAGATGCAAAAGGGTCATCCCTTGGCTTGGGAAGATCAAGTGGGCAACCGGCCCCACTGGTGAGTGAGCCTAGACAAAGCAACCGGGACCCTCTCGGTGCTGGCTCTTCTCTCTGCTCGTGAGTGAGAGTTCACGCAGGGTTCTCCTCTGCCTCACCTAGAAACTGGCCGTGCCTTCGGCAGCAGACCTGCCCAAGGAAGGACTGAACAATCCAGCCTTCCGGTAATGCGTTCTTTAAAGGCTTAAAATAGTTCCTGTGTTTGTCACAATCTGGATTTCACAATAGCTCGGAGGGTGAGTCACAGGCAAAGGCCAAACAGTCTCTTCTGTCACCTGAACAGGCACCTCTCACCCCTTAAATCCATAAACTGAGCTTTAGTTTCTCTGTGCTTTTGCCTTCTAGGAGTAATCCTGCTCACCTCCTCTTCCCCAGTACTCCCAGCATGTTTGACAGCAGCATGATGTCCAGCACTGGTCTTGCTCCAGAGGGCTCCAGCAAGATCCTTTGCTTTGTATCCTGGAGCCTGGCTCCTGGCATGGCCTCCTGGAAGTGGTTTACTCAATAACTTTTATTTGATATGTTTTCTTTTGTGGAATGCGTGTTCCAATCCCGTTTCTGCATAGCCCTGCCAGTTGTGGTCTGTGCGGTGCGTTGATTTGCACAAAGGCTGGTAGTGGCCATAAGGGCTTTTCAGGTTTTAAATGCCAAGACTGTAATGAATCTAACTATAGCTCAGTAGCACATCCTATAGCTGCCAGCTATGCTGGCAGCTGTCTGCTCTATTTACTTTTTGGTGCTAATTAGCACTCCAGGGACAAATTATCCATGGCATTAAAATGCCCAGGAGTAGAGGATCTAAATGTGTGCTTTTGACCAGCCGTAGGTCATAGATAGGCATCAGTTTCTGTTCTTCTGATCTCACCATCTGGGTGGTTCTTTTGCTTCTGTCCACAAACGTCACTGGAAAAAACAGGAAAAACCATGAGTTCCTCAAACGCTGCACATTTGAGGGTGTTTTACCTGAGAACAGAAGCTCTCTCCCCATCTCTGCATCCTCTACATGGACTTTTGCTGGGTTGGAGACCCTGTAATTAGGCTGGGGTTTGAAGATGATTTCAGATTTGTAGTTCAAACCATGTATTTTGCAGGATTGCATTTCAAATGATGTGGCTGTCAAACAAACTCACTGCTGGTGAGTCATCCTAGGGTGCTTTCTTGATAGTTCTTGGTTTTCGTCTTTCCTCCTTATCATTGCCCCTTCCTTTCTTTGGCATTCAATGGCAAACAAAGCAGCCACCATGAGGGAAGCTTTCATTTCCCTCGCTGCGAGGTGAGGACACGATCCCCAGCAAAAGTCAAGGTAGACATGAAGCTGCAGAGAGGCTGATGGCAACCCTTTTCTTCCCTCTCACAGCTCTTGGAGAGTGAGCAGCAGATGCTGCCTCTTCTCAGCCAAGTGCTGTGACTCCTCTAGCTGTGAGGGGTATCGTCCTGGCCTGCAGGTTATAGACTTGGAGATGCTGGTTCCTTCTAGCTTCTAATTGCTAGCTTGGCTTTTTGAGGTCAGAGCAGGCTGTGTTTTGCTTTGTGCTAACGTCTCGAGGCAGATTCTGATCTATTGCACAAAGATAAGCAGAAATCAGGAAAGGGCTTTAAACCCTAAAGCATCATCTCATGCCTGGGATGTCTGCAGCCAGCTCCCAGGGCTGGCAACTTAGGCAGTTGGCCTCTTCAGGATCCCAACAAACCTTTCTGGAAGAATATCTCTGTTGTCGCTGAAGGAAATTGCCAGACGTGAGTTACAGAGAGATCGCCCGGCGCTCTTGGCCAAAATCTGATGCTGCCTGTGTGAGTCTGGCTCGCTGTGAGTGCTCTTGGAGCTGGCTGGCTCCTGCGAGGGCTGCGATGCAGCCGTCTGCCTGATGGCAGGCAGCTGCCATTCCCAGGGAGGCTGCCGGGAACGTGGCTCTAGCCTGATGTCAGGGATAGAGGAAAAGCAGATGGAGAGAAAGGGAAGGTGGAGAAACGGGCAGAAGCTCCCTGGATTTCCAAAGCTCTTGCGATGGCAAACATGACTGGGTGAGCTCAGCTCAGAAGAGACCTGGACAACTCTGGAGGGGACAAGCTGTCCAGCCTGTGTGAGTGTTGGCCCTCTCAAAGGCAGCTGCATGAGGCAACCAGCTTCCTCTCCATGCTACAGTGGGCCGTGCCGGAGATGAATTCTCCAAAATCTCCTACTTGACCTCATGGTCTCGGGTCCCCTTCCTGCTTCAGCTGCTTCTGCGTCCCATGGGGCACTTTGGTCCCTTCTGGGAAATGCGATGAGTGCACCCGGTCCTAGCACATCATCACAGGACCATGGAAAGTACAGGGTTCATGCCCACGCCATCCCCGTGGCATCCCTACCCGCGTGAGCTTGCTGTTTCAAAACCTCATGTTCTCTATCCTGAGTTCCTGATGTCCTGAGCTGACTTCTCTGCAGAGATGGTGGTCTTGGTTCCGCTGGTGTGACCAAGGGGTATGACCTCCCTGTGCCGGCTGGCTTGGGGGGACATGAGACAGTGCAGGGCTCCTGTCCCTTTGGGGTGGAAGCCCACCTTGTGCAGCTCATGGGATCTCCTCCCTGAGCTGTGTCCTGTGCTAGAACGGATGAGGACATGGAGATGGCTGGGTAAACACTCCTTTGGGGCAGTCCAAAGTGATGGAGAAAGGCAGCAGCTAATTCTGTTATGGGCATCTTTAAGGACTGAACATCAGGCAGGATGTACGCGGGCTCATATCTAGAAAGGAAGCGATGGCTGGGGGTTGCTGGTCTGCTCACCCGCTAGTCGTAGGAGTAACGATGAATGAGGTCAGGCTGCCACAGGGAACACGTGGGCTGCAGTCGCTCCCCCACCCAGATCTTACAGCCCGATTTGCAAAACCATGTCTTCCAGCTCAGCATCCAGCACCCCTGGGTTCCTCAGCAAGCTCGGGAGGTGATGGGGGGTAGCAGCTTGGCTCCCCCGAGGCTTGGGGGTGAGGGCAGGCTGCCTGAGACCTCTTGGTGGGAGATGATGCCATGAGGGACTGGGGCATGCTCTGCTCCTGGGTTTTTTCAGATGCCTGCAGGGCCCCAGCATCCTGGAAGGGCTGAGCTGGCTGGGACCCCGCCGGTGGGAAGCGTGCGATGGCTGACCTCCAAGGGAAGCCCCACCTCGTCTCACAATATTTACTTCCCCTCCTTGGACCTCTCCCAACACCGTAAGTGCAGAGCAAACACAGTGGGGCACTTCTTGCTCCGATTTGGAAGCGCTGTGCTTTTCCCCGTGCTTGCTCTGCTCCGCATCTCCCCCTGCCCGGCTCTGCATGTCCCCCTCTGGGCATCTGGTGGTGACTTGGTAAGAAACGAACCAACCTGAGCAAAAGAAACCCCCTAGTTTCTTCTGAAACCAGCGTGAGCTGCTGTCTTGCATGTGGGCAGCGAGCCCAGATGGAAATGGGTTTGTCCCCCGTGGTAAAGGCACAGCTGTCCGTGCCAACTCGTGCGAATGCAGCAAGTCTTCAAAACCCAGCAGGCTCAAGGGTCCCTTATTTTCCTCCCTCTGTTGTATGGTTCCCCCGTATTCTTTCCCCCCCTTTCCCAGCCTGTTCCTCGGTACACAGTTATACTGTCACCTAAGCCATATAAAACTGTCCAGCGGGGCTTGCGGTGTTTATACTGGGAATTAATCCTCCTGTAAGCTCCTGTGTAGGTTTTCCAAACACAGATATGTAAACTACAGAGCAATAAGAAAGGTCACAACCAGAGCTTGCCCAGCTCCTCGGGTGATAACATCCACAGTGGGACATCCTCCCCTGGGGGAGAGGCATCCGGGAGCGATGGAAGGAAAATGGGTACTGAACTGGAATCATGCCGTGGGGGCTCTCCGGCGTCACTGGGGAGCAGGGTGGGTGAGTGATGGGGATTTCTCCCCCAGGTGAGCAATAGGGATTTCTCCCATCCCTTGGTCTGCTGATTCAATGCACTTCTGGGAATGGTGGGGAGCTCCTGAGTCAACGGCTCCCGTCTCGCCCCCTCTCCCGGCGTGTGACACATCTCACAGCACAGACTGTCTGGCAAACGCCCTTTCGGTGTTCTGTTGCGAACTTCGGATTTTTGCAAAAATTTGTGCATGTTTCCAGTTGCAAAATACAAACTGGGGGAAGGAAGCTGATGGACAGTGCTGGGTGGACGATGCCGAAAAGCTCCTGCGTGGGAGCAGCTCCGAGGCTCTCCTGGCACTGCCGGCTTACAGATCCCTGCTTTTACCCGAGTGTAGTCAGCTGCCTTTTTCCCCAGGCAGGATTGGGGCACAAGAGGAATGGGGTGATAAGAAACGTGTTTGCACATGCTTCCAGTCCAGCATGAATAGCCTTCTCCTGGTGCGTGGCACCTACAAGCAGAGCAGCCCCCATGCAGCTATCAGTGACCCCTTCCTAGGCAGCGAGAGCTGCTTGGGGAGGGGTGTTTGTGGGGGGAGGAGGTCAGCAAGCTGCCAACCCAAAGGGCTACACTCCTGTGTTGTTGTGAGGAACCAGGAGGGAAAGTCAGCAAAAGTTTTCCAACCACTCGGACAAAGCGGTTTTGACGGTTTTCTAGTTACTTAGTGAATAAGTTGGTTGAAGGGACTGTATAAAATGGAAGGGGCATCCAGGAGAGCGTGTAGAGCTTTTCTTACTGTGATCTGAAGAGTTTGCTGACAAGCAACACCACAAATGCTGGCCAGTCCTGGGACATCAAAATACACCCTTCGTGGTTTACCTGCCAAGGGGATGATCCCTACATTTCCATCGTGTGTTACAGAAACCTGCCCTGGTGAGGAAGGGGAGCGTAGGGATGTTCAGGGTGGAGATGGTTCAGAGCTGAACTGTGAATTTGGTTCATTGTCTGTGTACTCAGGATTTCTATTAAATGCAGCTATCACCTAAGCTATTACCAGAGAGCCTCTACTCCCTGAGGTTTTCTTGCTTGCGTCTTTTTCATGCTACAAACAACAGGATTCATCTCCTTTTCTAAAAGCCTCTTCCCCATGATGGGAAGTGGTGTGGGCATGAGAGACTGAAGGAAGGAAGGAGGATGCTTTGGACCTTACGGAGCATTCATCTTCTCTGTGAAACTCCAGGCAGGTTTAGGAAGCAGAAATGCATCTGCAAGTTTCCATGCTTGTGTTGTGGCTGGTACCAGTCAAGCTGAGCATGAACTGGAGGAGCAGGAATTGTGTTGAGTCCTGTGTGCTCCTGGCTCTCCTCGCCTCTGTACTCATGATGGTTTTTTCTTGCAGGCTAAGAATAAGGAAACGGGCGCTTTAGCGGCTGCCAAAGTCATCGAAACAAAGAGCGAAGATGAACTGGAGGATTACATGGTGGAGATTGAAATACTGGCGACCTGCGATCACCGGCACATCGTCAAGCTGCTGGGAGCGTTTTATTGGGATGGCAAGCTGTGGGTAAGAGGCCCTTGCTGTGTGTGACTGTACAGCTGTGCGTTTCTCACTCTGCAGAGAGGAAATTGCTAATTTATGGTGAAGCAGAACCTCTGGAGCAGCTTGAAGCATCACTGTGAGTTAAAAATGACTCACAAGCTGTGCTGTCCTCACTGCGTGAACAGTGCCTGGGTTTTCCCCACTTTCTTTGATGAGCAAACTGTCTTTTAACTAAAGATGCTTATAAATAGCCCAGGGAAGATCAAGAGATATTTACAGTGAAGTGAAAACTGGAGTTGGATTTTATTTTTGTTTTTTCACCATTTGGAGCTTGTAAAGGTAGAAAACGCAGCACCGATAAGGGTGTTTGTTCCCTGCTCAGCCCCTCTTTTGAAAGATCAGATTAGAAGGGTAACCGTGGTGGGGTTTTTTATATATTCCTGCTTTATTTCTGGCTCAACATCTGTAATGCGGAGCCAACTGATGACGAGAGCTCTGTTTCCCATGGCTGTGGAGGCACAGGGACACAGACTGTAATCCAGTGGGTTAGTGCAAGGGCTAGTTGTGCTGCAGCTGGAACAGCAGATTCCTGCATCTCTTTCCCCTAGCCCAGCAGGTATATATATTATCTTTTTTTCCTCTCTGCCTGCTGTTTTCTTTGGGTCCCTGGCAGCAGAGGAAGGGGAGTGTGAAAGGCACCTTTCTGCCTGCTGCCAGGGGGAAGGTGCAGGGGGCTGGAGAGGGTGAGGGCATGAAAACTTGTCTATTTGCCCCACACTAGACCTGGATAACTGTGCGCCGGGGTGTGTGCAGGTCTCCCTGTGTCAAGGTAGTGGAAATCAGGTGAATACGAGGATTTTTAAACCCATCTTCTTGGCCAGTTCATCTGCTCCTTCTTGTAACCACTGGCAAGTCAGGGGATTGTCAAAGGGTGTGTTCAGCAGCTCTGTTACTTTCTCCTTCCTCTTTTTGATGCTTCAGATAGATTACCCTGGGAGGCCACAAAGCTTAATAGAGTTAAAAAAAGAGATCTTAGCATTTGAGACTTGCACTTGTGTGAGCTGGTCTGTCGGAGCCGTGGGTCCCAGAGCACGGGCAGAGCCGCGGGGCTGTCACTGGAATAATGCAATCCGTGTCTAGTTCATTCCTGGGTGAAGCAACGCGGGAGAGGTGCTGGTTTATTGGGCAACACGTACTTATCCAGCAAGCACTTTTTGCAGTGTCAGCATGGGTCAATGTCCCTTCTCATTTAAAAATCCATGGATAAAGCCCCCGCTGTGACACCCCACTCAGAGGGACCGTGGTACCCAGCGCTGAGCGCTTTCTTCTGTGCATCCTCTTGCTGCAAAGGAGCTGGGCTGCAAGTTGTCCAGAGACTTGGTATTTGGATGGCTGCTAATCGCGGTGTTGAGCCCTGGGTACGTTAAAGAACAAAGTAAATATGTACCCTTCTAAGGAAGTGAAAGGCAAACATCCCTCCTAGGAGGGGGACTTGAGATTTGGACAGATTGCAGCTGCAGCAAAACTAATCTCAGCAAAATTAAAAAGGCAAACATACATTGAGCTTGGGTGAGACATGGGGCCAGTTTATATTCTACCCTGTTCTGCTCTTTTTACATCCCTGTTCCGTGCCTGGTCTGCCTGAATTTTACATGTTGGCACTCTCTCTGTCTAAAATATCAGCCCCCTCCCCTTTCCCCTTCCACCTCCTCCCTGCAATAGGAAGCTTTGCCTTCCTTCCTGTAGGGAAAATGGATTGCAGAGCTCCTCGGCTCTGCTTTTGTCTACAAAGTGCTTTGTAATGTCATATGCTTGCAGACCTACTAAAATTAAACAGCCTCTTTTGATGCTACTGGAACAAGAGCCTCCTGTATGAGGCCCTCCTGTGAGGGCAGACATTACAGCCCTGTCCATTGTTTTGGGGGAAGGATCATTCTCTTTAATTATTTTAGTGACATTTGCATTTCATTCCTCAGGCTGTTCTTATTAATGCTGTAGTGTTTTACTGGCTTTGAGGGAAGTAAATACGCCAGGATGTTATACTTCTGGAAGGCTTCTAGTCGCTACCAGGTTTTCCCTGAAGTCAAAGGTTTCCGCTTCTTGGTCACCAGTGCTGCTGGGGAAAATTTGCATCCTGGTATAAACATCAGCTTTCATTGTCTTGTCCACCTCCCATCCCCACTTCTCTGTGTAGTTGTTTTAGCCAGTGTTTTCCTGGACCATTTGCAAACGGTCCATCTGCACAGTGGGCCCATGGACTCTGCTGTGCTTTTTGGCTTCGAGGGGCTCAGGTTTTGGGTAAAACTGCTGCGGGTGTGTGTCTGGTCAGTGATCCGCTGGGGTTTCCCTGTCCTCACAGCCTGGTGTGGAAAGACAATGTTCAAAGTGAGAAAGGGGCAGGAGGGGGAGCACGCAGACAGGCTGGCAAGGGGTCCAGACGCTCCCGACCTCCGGGATGGCAGGAGCTCTTTGGCTCTGAATAATTTACAGCTCGGTCTGTGCCACAAGCAGCCTCAGCCAACAGCGCTGAGAAGGGCTCGGTGCTGGGAAGGGCTCTTGCTAAATCAGTCTGTTGACTGTTCTCCGACTCTTGAACTAACAAGGAAAATATGTGAGGAAACCTGGCCTTCGGTGGTGGGTGCTGCTGCAGAGGCTTCCTTGTCCCCCCAAGCTGCGTTAGGTCCCCACGGTTCCCCTCTGCCAGGGTTTGGCTTTGTGCTTCAGTAACCAGAAGGTGACATGCAATATTTATGGAGCAAAAAACCTTTCTGTGCAAAGGGAAGTGGCTTATCCTACAGCAGCTGCTTTGAAATCCATAGTGCTTGAAATGAAAGCACAAACCAGCACATTCCTCTCGCTTTTATACCTGACTGACATCACGCTGAAAGAGGAGAACCCCACTTCTCATGAGGGATGGAGCAGAAGCCACTGTGAGCCACAGGCAAGGGCTTGGAGGACCCCGGGACTGGTGAGATGAGAGCATCTAGCATGAATGTCCTCACGTATAAACACTCTGCAGAGATGCTGTGCCCTCCCCGGTAGTTGCTATCTCATTCCATTCCCCCCCCCATCTTCTTTTCTTTGCTCGTGGCAGAGGCTAAGCACTCCTGTGCCGGTGGAAAACAGCCCAGGGAGGCTTGCAAAACTGCAGTGGTGGGAGCTTTCATGATTTTATTTTATTTTTATTATAAGCCCTGTGGCATTTGATGTTCTTTTGCATAAATCCCAGCTGCTGGAAACAGGGGCACCAAATGAAAGCTGAGAATCTCATGCTATTAAAGCAAAAAAAGTCTGGTTTGAGTCCCTGTGGCTGAGCCACATTTTAAAGTCTTTTTTTCTGAAGTGTGATGTAGGACTTGGAAGCACAAAGGCAAATCCCCCTCACCTAATATACACACAACTTTAAAAATGGACTTAACATTGTTTTGTGACTGAGGAACGGGACTAAGGTATGGGTTTTGAATGCTTGGAGCCAGTGGTGCTGAATTTGTGCCGATAACTATTAGTATGTGGGAAGGTAAAACAACAGTCCTTGTGTGTTGTGTCCCTCTTGAAGGCTATGTGGTTTGGGTTTTCTGTTTGTTTGTTTTCTTTCCCTTCCAAAACAACACAAAGAGACTGAGACCTCAAAGGAAGGGAGGAACTTTTCATCTCCTGCTTCTGAGTATCTCTGCTGTTTCCTAGTGTCTCCTCTCGCAGACAGATGACCGGGGAGTCAATCTTGTTTGGAGTGATGAACTCAGACGTTTCTGTGGGAGATATCTCCTCCCAGGGCATGGTGGGCATCTCCACCAGGCAACCCAACATGCTGTGGCTGATGATCCCCAGAGTGGGGCAGGAAACCTGGGCTCCCTCCTGCAGGAGCCTGTGGAGCTGCTCCAGCATCCATTCTGCAGGGTTCTCTGGAAATTAGTTGAAACGTCATTTGGCCTCAAGTATTTAACCGCAGGACTCTGCCCGTGGTGGTACAACTTTTCTGGTGAAGCACCAGGGAATTTTCTCCCCTCTCTCCTTTTCTATAAACCATGGTTGCTATAGCAAACGGGCTTTTGAATAAACAGTCGTTTCCTGGAGATCAAAGCAGAAATCGCTGTACCGTGCAGGTAACCCTGCCTTGCCGGAGCGTTTTGGGGATGGTTAATTTAATCAGCTTAGAGTTTCTTCTCACTGGCCTGCTGTGTGGGTATGCAACTCGTATAGCTCGCAGAGAGACACCAGCTTTGTAGCTACTCTTTGTACTTCCCTGAAAAAAAAAGCATTTTGCATTTTCTGTGGGCATGCCCTGACCTGTTTAGCCAGGGACTTTTTTGGATTGCTACCCCTTTGATATGGATGTTGACTGGAGATTTGAGCATTCTTGAAAATCCTGTATCATAAAGAAATGTTCATTATCCCATGCACTAGACTGCTGGGCTATGTAAAGCATCTGCAGCTTTTAATTCTCTTCAGTTAGAAGTACCTTTTCTTTCAAACAAACAAAAAAGAAAGCTGATAACAGTAGCAGATTCCCTAAGGTTTTCCTTAGCGAAGGGAGGCCACTGCAGCTTGCAGGGATGTCTCGCTGGGTGAACACCCTGAGCTGTGGCTGGGTGCCCACGGGGACCCCTCCACGTGAATCCTGTACCGGACCAGGGCTCTCCAGGCTTCTGGCTATGTGGTTTGGGTTTTCTGTTTGTTTGTTTTCTTTCCCTTCCAAAACAACACAAAGAGACTGAGACCTCAAAGGAAGGGAGGAACTTTTCATCTCCTGCTTCTGAGTATCTCTGCTGTTTCCTAGTGTCTCCTCTCGCAGACAGATGACCGGGGAGTCAATCTTGTTTGGAGTGATGAACTCAGACGTTTCTGTGGGAGATATCTCCTCCCAGGGCATGGTGGGCATCTCCACCAGGCAACCCAACATGCTGTGGCTGATGATCCCCAGAGTGGGGCAGGAAACCTGGGCTCCCTCCTGCAGGAGCCTGTGGAGCTGCTCCAGCATCCATTCTGCAGGGTTCTCTGGAAATTAGTTGAAACGTCATTTGGCC